TCCTTGATGATATGGGGCTGCATGTCAGGCAAAGGCACTGGGGAGATGACTGTGGTTCATTCTTCGATCAATATACAAGTTTCCATTGACATTTTGGACAGTTTTGTCATCCCTTCAATTGAACAGATGTATGGAAGTGATGAAATAATTTTCCAAGAGGACAATGCATCGTGCCATAGGGCAAAAACGGTGAAGGCATTCCTTGGAGAAGACACATTCAGTCGATGTCTTGGCCTGCAAATAGTCCAGATCTCAACCCAATTGAAAACCTGTGGTGGAAATTGGAAAAAAAAATGGTCCACGAGAAGGCTCCGACCTGCAAAGGTGATCTGGCAACTGCTATCAAAGAGAGTTGGCACCAAATTGATGAAGAATACGGTTTGTCACTCAAGTCCATGCCTCAGAGACTGCAAGCCATTATAAAAGCCAAAGCTGGTGCATAATTATATCACATTTTCATTATTTATGTGCTGTTTAGGCTTATATACATGGAGTGATGCAAATGTGACTGGAGTAAGAGACACACAAAATATGTGTTGAGCTGAAAGTCTGGTGGGATGTCACCAACCACCACACCATTATGTTTGTGATTATAAGTTTTGGACCTAATGCCTGCCTCCATGCTCCTTTTTCTGACATTGTTCATTTGTTCTCACCTCCTTGTTCTCTGGCTCACTGGCATGCCATCTCCACATCTTCACACTTTTGAACTTACTTCTGATAGTATGATCCACCTCAATTAACAATCAGCCTGCCTTCTTTTTTCCTTCCCCTGTAATTATCAAACAATGTATAGGAAGCAGCATTAGAGATAGTATATACTAGTAAATACTAATCCCAAATAAATTCAATAAATTTAACACTATCTGTCGGAAAAAGCAGAAATTGTTCATTTTGTCCAAGCTCTGTCCCCAAGTGGAAGTAGGAGCTGATTCCACAAACAACAATATCCTTGGTTTCCTTCACCTGGCTGAGGGTGTTTTTGTCTTTCAGCTCTCCTCTCCGCCGGCAGAAGCAGCAACTCGTTTTTGTCCCTGTGTCCTCACATGTAGCTTTGGTAGCCTTCATCAGTGAGTGGGGGGCAGCTGAGCTGGATTCTTGGGGAAAGTACAAGTTCTCACTCCTCCATCCTCCACTGTGTTAAGCTTTGCATTGATTCAATGTATTCCTGTTGGAACTTATTTTTGTCAATAAAATCTTATTTCTTTAATAATCAACTACACCTTTAGGCGGTCACTCTATATGGTCTTTTAGGTTTTGTTTAATCAAGGCCTGCTCACAGTGTTAGGAAAGTGCTTTTTAAATTGACTTATTCTGCTTTGAAAACACTGAAAAAATATGTTACAATTTTTTTTATTTTAGTACTGTCAAGATTTACAGGTTTTTCTAAGATCAAAACATGATGATGTATGCTTTTTAAACTTTTTGTTTAAATGACGTTTGGTGATGTTCCAATAAGGTTAAAGAATCAAGACCATCCTAAGTTTTGACTTATGTTGCTTATAAAACAACCCTCCAATATTTGCCTTTTTTGTTTTCTCTACTCATTTCCCCTCTGCTCTCCTCTTTCAGGCCAAGTCATGTATCTGTCACATGTGTGGCGCCCACCTCAACAGACTCCACTCCTGCCTCTACTGCGTCTTCTTTGCCTGCTTTGCCAAAAAACATATCCACGAACATGCCAAGAACAAGAGGCATAACCTAGGTATGGCACAGAATTCATTCATGAATGTTTGCAGTGTGTAAACCAGCAAATAAACCACCCTAGAACATCCATCCATGCTAGTAGAGTGCACACACATTAATAGTCCTTGATTAACAAATGTCACTTTATCAAATAGTCTCTTATTTACATAATAGTATGTGTTTAAAGCAAGATATTATTTTACATGGGGAGTTCACAGACTTGACTGAGGCACATTGGTGGTTTTGTAAGACATTTTATCAAGAGCAACATAGCTACGAGCTCTTATGCAAGACAGTGCAACACAATTGCAACACAGACTAAAGGACTTGGCCTCAAGGGGGATTTGAATGTTACCTGCAAATTTGGCCCCATGTAGCTCATTAGAGGGAATAAAGGCGGTGGTGAAGTGATTAATGAATGGGGAGCTTTGGTTCATTGCTGATTAAGAATAAGCATATTTAATAGTTTTTAGTGCTTTTTCTGTTGAACAACTAGCTCCTTCCATTTACTTTCTTTGAAAACTTTTGCACTAAGCAGAGATCAGCTGTGTTATTTCAAACTTTGTACTAAAATTTGTTTTCAGGAACTCAACAAGCCACTTCTTTCAATTTAGCTCTCGAATTGGCTGCTGCCTTCTTCATGAAAATATAAGAGATGTATTTCAACCTACTGAATTAAATATGTGCATCATTCAGATATGATTTGGATGGCTCCAGATACAAATAGACGTGGGTGTTTGCTGAACACTGTGGACAGTTTTCCCACAGGAATCTTCAAAACATTACTCAGAAAGCAGGACATGGTAAACCCATAAAAAGGTTAAAAACTAAACAACTGGACTTCTAGTATTTATTTAGCTGAATAGAATAGAATAGAATAGAATAGAATAGAATAGAATAGAATAGAATAGAAT